AACAGGTTGTATCTGCTACTTTTCTCTTTCGTATAGCCCGTTCGTTCACACAAGGCCGTAACGGAACCGCGGAAACGGACCCCTAAAACGGTAACGGGTCCCAAGGTGGATAGATCTGCGGACGGAATGCTTTGGGGCTATCCTGATAACGATAAAGCCATAGCCCCGCCTCTCCCCACCTCTGCTGCTCACTGCTGTAGCATGGTCAGTAGCTACTCTCTGCTACTGACCATGCTAAAGATGTTAGTGCAAAATCTACAGCTCCTCTACCACAACCATCAGGAACAAGTGGACATGGAGAACTACATGAACTACATGTTGCTAAATCCACCACGGAGAATAAACAGAAGGGCAACCAGGCAACCATGCTCGGGGGTCTTCTTCGCTGCTTTTGGTGTATTTTGTGGCGGAAGTACAGCGCCACTTACAGGCCCCGCATATGTACTACAGCGTCTCCAGCGGGTCGAGCGGTCTCGTGTGAAGGGACACGTTTATTGAGCTGTATCCGTGTGAACGGAAGACTTTTTTGATATCGAATTCGGTTCGTTTGCGTTTCGTTTGCGTTCCCATGTAAATGGGGCCTAAGTCGCTGACTATCCAAGTAAATAACATTAGACACAGAAACACGCCATATTGGCTTTAGAGATGTTAAGACCCCGTTTACACGAGGACGAAACGGGTTGTACGCATAGTTTCTCTTGCGTATAGCCCTTTAGTTTACACGAGGCCGTAACAAAACAATAGAAACGGACCCCGCAAACGATAACGGGTCCCAAGGTGGATAGATCTGCAAACGAAACGCTCTGGGGGGTCAAACGGATCCGTCTGTACGCCTCTATACGATCATTTTCTGATAACGATGAAATAGCCCCGCCTCCCTCTCCCCACGTCTCCTGCTCAGAGATCAGCTGCTGGGCTGTCAGAAGAGGGGGAGGAAAAGAGAGGCTCCGTTTATTATTATTATATTATTATATAGAGTCGTTATCAATTTGTTTTAAAGCTCAATAAATAACAAAGAAGACCTCTGACCGGCACTTTCCTAATTTTGTACGGAAGATTTAAACTTTAACGGACATGTTGACCGGCGAAAAAAAAATGTTAACGGAAACTCTGCTGCACGGTTCCCTCGTCCCTTGGAAGAGGCGGAGAGGTGGGTGTTTTGCATCTGCTGGTGGACTAACCGGAGAGATTTACAGCAGGAGCACACGCCGTCCACCGCGGAGAATAAACAGAAGGGCAACCATGGCAACCATGCTCCGGGGTCTTCTTCGCTGCTTTTGGTGTATTTTGTGGCGGCAGCAGCGCCACTTACAGGCCTGGCATATGTACTACAGCGTTTCCAACGGTCTCGTGTGAACGGACACGTTAAATGAATCGAATGCGTGTGAACGGAAGACTTTTTTGAAAACGCATACGGTGCGTAAACGCAAACGTTCCCGTGTAAATGGGGTCTAAGTCTAATGTGATCAGTCAAGCTCAGTGTCACACCCCTTAGCATATGACAGCTGGCGCTGATTGTTTCCATTTATCATGTGTAACATCCTGCTGAAAGTCAATGCACTGTGGTGTCACCGCAGGGGAGATGGGCCACAGTTAGGATCATCAGCATGGGAATACTCAAGTAATTGCATCAAGAGTTTCAACTCTTTTATCCTATGCTTGAACAAAAAACAGTTTGCATACTAAAAAAGAACAGAAAGCACAATGAGGCAGGACCAAATCAAACCAAAACAGTTTTAAATCTTTAAATTGACCAGGCTTGACTGACTCTAAGGCGCCGTTTACACGAGGAGAAAACTGCTTGTATCTGCATAGTTTCGCGTGCGTATAGCCCTATTATTTACACGAGGCCGATAGAAACTGACCCCACAAACGATAACGGGTCCCAAGGTGGATAGATTTGCAAACGAAACGCTCTGGGGGGTCAACCGAGTCCGTGTAATCACCTCTATACGAATATTTCCTGAAAAGATTGCGATAGCCCCACCTCTCCTGCTCACTGCTGTAGCAACTATCAAAAATAGCTGTGTTAATTAAACGCACAAGGGGTTCTTGAATGAAATAATATTATAAAAGGCAAACCAGAATTGTTAACGCCCAATATACTCCTTAAACAAAATAAACAGAGTCAGATTTCATGCATTGATCCATTATATTGACAAAGGTGCGATCTCACCCGGTGTTTGTAGAGAATATCTCTTTCTGAGCCGTCCTCTCCACAGAGACGTGGTTCTTGGTCGGTCGATGCAATATCCACAGATTCGGTTTCTTTCAGTTAACTTCCCCGTTGCATTTATCCATATGCTGAGGAAATGACTATATCCCGCTGAATACCAGCAATCGCCACACACACTGACTTCCTCCTGTCAGTAGCTACTGCTAGTGCTACTGCTACTGACCATGCTACAGATATTAGTGCAAAAATATACAGCTCCTCTACCACAACCATCAGCAACAAGTGGACATGGAGAATTACATGAACTACATGTTGCTAAATACACCGCGGCCCGCGGGGCATGAACAGAAGGGTAGCCATGGCAACATTGCGGCGGGGGCTGCTGGGCTGCTCTTCTTCGCTACTTTTGGTGTATTTTGGCGGAAGTTACAGCGCCACTTACAGTCCTGGCATATGTACTACAGCGTTTCCAGCGGTCTCGTTTGAACAGACACGTTAAATGAAACGAACGGAAGACTTTTTTTAATACGCATACTGTGCATAAACGCAAACGTTCCCGTGTGAGCGGGGCCTAAAGGGTGACACTTATTTAATGACACACACACACACACACACACACACACACACACACACACACACACACACACACACACACACCACACACACACACACACACACACACACACACACACACACACACACACACACACACACACACACACACACACACACACACACACACACACACACACACACACGTATACATCAGGGGACATTACATTGACTTACATGCATTTCCTCGAGACTTATCCTAACCATAACCATAACCAACACATGCCTAACCCTAACCCTAAACCTAACCAAGTCTTCACCCTAAAATTAATGATTCCCCTAATGGGGACCTCCATTTTGTCCCCATAAGGGAGGCGAGTCCCCACATGTGACTGTGTAAACAGATGTAGGTCCCCACAAGTATAGTAATGCTAGGCCACACACACACACACACACACACACACACACACACACACACACACACACACACACACACACACACACACACACACACACACACACACACACACACACACACACACACACACACACACACACACACACACACACACACACACACATCTCATCAGTGATTGTGATCACGTCTTATCTTCAAACATGTATGAAGCTCTGCCTTCACAGCTACGTGATATATTAGCATCCAGGTAACAGTGCTGTGGCAGGCTGCAGTCTCTATGGCACTCTGTTAGTTACATTACATAACAGAGGAGCGCTGCCAAGCCCCCGGAAAGGTTAGTCCTAGTATCTCTTGAAGGAAAATAACTCCATATGAAAGCATGTTATTTAAAGCACGAACATGTGATTTCAAACAAATCACTAAACTACAGAAATAATCTGCATTTGGCAAGTGAGTCCCCTGTCAGCATTTAACATGTCCTACTTTTTGAGGATGGTGCAAACTGCTCACTATCACCTCCACAGTGGATTATGATGTGGAGTCATGGAGAAACGTGTTAACACTGTTAAAATGCAGTATTTAACTTGTTTGAGTGTCTGCCAAACAGTACGGTAAAGGTATTTGCAGAGATGGAAGAGGTACTCAGAGAACTTAAGTAAAAGTAGAAATACTACAGTGTAAAAACGTTGTTTCAAGTAAAAAATCCTGCATGCAAAATCTTAGTTGAGTAGAAATCTAAAAAGTATTGGAATCAAATTATACTTATTGTACAAAAGTAAAAGTACTTGTCCCATTATAGAATTATATGTATTAATATACTTGACTATTATCCTTCATGCATTGATGTGTCCATCACATCAATGCATGTAAAGGTGGAGAAAATAGAAATACAATTATATATATATAACATATATTTTGCATTAGCTAGTGATCCTATTCTGGAAAGTAACTATTTACAAATGTTGTCAAATAAATGTAGGAGTAAAAAGTACAATTTTGGCTTCCAAAATGTAGTAGTATGGAAATGGATGGATACACATAAGTAAAGTACAAATAACCCAAAATCGTACTTAAGTACAGAGCTTGAGTTAACATACTTCATTACATTACAACACTGCGTATTTGCAATCGACCTTACATAATCATAATGAATAGACAAGCGAGCAATCTTCCAAATGAGTTCTTCTGTCTGGCATTGCAGTACATAATGTGCTTACAGCAAACTGAAGAAATCTCAGGGCCATCTTCCATCTATACATGGAGCAGACAAGGATATTTGAAACCGTTATTGCCTTTGAACGCACCTAAGAGCACTGCTCTGGTCAGGCAGCGGGGGGGGGCACTGCGTTACCTGAGGACATGGTGCAGACTTTTTGCTGCATTGAGTCACAACTCCGGTGGGACGGGCGGGTCACGTGACCGAACTCTGAACCGTTATGGAGGATCAAAGTGATCTGATCTGCAGCCAGCTGATAACCAGTCCAAACACACAGCCCAGCCCGGCGTCAGTGAACACAAGCCGGAGATAAACGTGTAATATCGCCATGCTTTTCTGGGTAGTGCAGGCCGAGGGGGGGCGAGGTGCTAACGGTACACTGCGGCTGCCCTTGGAGAGCCAATGCTGGCCTTGGTAGCTCACACAGCCCTCCTACAGAACGACTGCTGTGTCACCATTTAATTTTAACTCAGTATTCAACAAAATGATGAGTCAACAGTCTTCAGAAATCACCAGCGTGCTTGTGCACGCGCCCTGCAGCCCGCCACACAATATGCAAACGTGCGCGTGCAGTGATTGAGATGAGCGTTTAAAACTACAAAAGACAGTTTGAAGCAAACACAGTGGTATTTATTTACCTGTTAATATCTTCTCCGCCGCCGTTTCTTTCTCAGTCATCTTCTCCCGCAGTTTCTCCTCCTCCCGAGCCTTCTCCCCGATACAGCTACACCAAGCAATGGTCCTGCTCCACCGAAGCACCGGACAGAGGGGGAACTTCAGCACGAACAGCCTCCACGCGGATAACTCGATGTCCCCTTCAGCCCCTCTCAGCCTGGCCGCTTCCTGTTCAATGGAAAAGCCGTTAAAACGCACATGGAGAGGATTTGAGGTCTGGAGGTTTTGAAATGGGGGGGGGGCAGTGCCTTCGCAGAGAGGATGTTGGACCCCAGACTGTTGCTTGCTGCTCTGTCCGCCCCTCCCACCTCTCTCACGGATGTCCTGGCCAGGAATCCTCCTGCTGACCGCCTGACGCACGCACACACACACACACACACACACACACACACACACACACACACACACACACACACACACACACACACACACACACACACACACACACACACACACACACACACACACACACACACACACACACACACAGTATGGGGAGGCGTGTGGCGCAGTGGATAGAGCCTTGGTATGGGGATCAGATGGTCACAGACTGTATAAAGGTTCAAACCCCACTGCAGTCAGCATGTCGTTGTGTCCCTGGGCAAGACACTTCACCCCAAATGGCTCCTGTGGGGATTGCCCACAGTATTGAGTATGTAAGTCGCTTTGGATAAAAGCGTCTAACAAGTAACATGTAATGTAATGTATTAGCAGATATAATATAATAAAATAAAGTGTCAAAACTAAAACTACTCATTATCCAAAGTGGCTTGTGTCACATGAAAAGCCCATGAAAACAATGTATGGGACATTTTCTTGATGAATGCCTGTTAGAGCCCACGCCTCTATGTTAGAGAAACAAATAAAAGTTACAAAACTAAACAGTATATAAAGACATATGCAGGGCATGGTCCTTAAACGCTGTCAATCCAAATATTTCAAATTGTTTGTAAAGAGAAATATATGGATTTTGCAGGAACTGACTGGGTGAAATCATCCATCGGTCGACCAGGGATTTGAGTGTCTCGAGTCATCCACATGGAGTATTGTTGGGTTTTTATTTATTTGCTTATTTTCCTCATTTGCTTATTTAGATCCAACATTGACATGATGGCAGTAGATATCAACTTGTGGTCAGCTAGTCAATCTTTTTGAATTTTTATTTTTGTAATGTTGGGGCTTTTGGATTTTCTGTCAACTGGTTTGTGCTATAAGTAAGTAAGTAAGTAAAACTTTATTTATATAGCACCCTTCTCAACACGGATGTACAAAGTGCTTTACAGTACAGTACACAGGACACAATTCAAAGTACAACTATAAAATGTAGAATAAAAGGCATAAAACAGCAGCAGGTAATACATAGGATAAAACATACGATAAAACACCAATAAAAGACAGCTACTAACTCACCTCCTCCGACGACCCAAAGGCCTGTCGGAAAAGGTGGGTCTTTAACTGCCCCTTAAAAATCTCTACTGAGGCAGAGGCTCTTATGCCCCTTTCACACCGGTGCTTTTCCAGCTCCGGCTCGGAAAAGCGCCGGTTTTTCCTGTTCACACCGCAGCGGCGCCGTGTCATAGCTCCGGAATGCGGTTCACTTCCAGCTCCAAAAAATTGTCGGTCTAGAGGCAAGAGCTTCGGAGCTATGACGCGGCGTCGCTTACGTCTCTCTTACGTCGAGGCGTGCAGGAAACTAAACCCACCTCCCCTGAACATGGGTCGACTGAAGAGTCTCGTCATGCCTGCTTGCCTGCCTACAAGCAGTAGCGCTGAGCAAAGTGACTAGAAGGCAACCACACACTTATAAAAAAAAAACACACTTTATAAAGTCAGGCAACACTAACCAGGCTTCGTGTGATTCTGTTTATTTGTACCTTACTTTGACCATCCGTTCGCTGTTATTGATCATTGTGGAGAGCAGGCAGACGTTTTGTTTGTTATTATAGCAGCTATCGGATGGAATCAATACATGGGCTGCACAGGTTGTCATGTCCGACTATCACAAGTAGAATCATAATGAAAAATACGCCGGTAAAATGTGCCTGTAGAAAACGGCTTAGCAAGTAGTCAGTTTAGCTTCGGTTGCTATGCTAACATCACCCATGTTATACCAGAGAAACTTTCATAACAGCGTTGTGATGCCAAACAGCGTCAATTCAGACTGACACACATTCACTTAAGGGGAACTGGGGATATGTATCAGCTGCTTGTGTGACAGTCAGACAGTGAATACTTTAGAGCCGTGTGAGCTAACCCGGAGCTAACGGGAGAATAAACTCCCGTGGAAGAGCAGCCAGCACTGCAGCGGTCGGTAAATGCCGCTGAAACACATTAATAAACAATGAACCACGGCACTCTGGAGAAAAGTATAAGGTTGGAGAAGTCGTTATTTAATTTAATCTGGCTTCGTATGATTAAAAGCAACACGATCATCGACCCGACGCAGTCCCCGGCCCGTTGTTGTTGTGAGCTCCGTTGGGGAGAAAATCAGCGATGTAAACGGTGACGTCATGACGCAGCAGCGGCAGCTCTGGGCGGTGTGAACAGAGCGGGAGCTGAAAAGGGAAACCGGAGCTGAACCAGAAAAGCTCTAGCTAGGAGCTAGAAAGGCGCTGGTGTGAAAGCCGCATTAGTGTCTGGGGGAGTTTGTTCCAAAGCCTTGGGGCCACCACCTCAAAGGCACGCACGGTCCCCCTTAGTTTTTAGCCTGGTTCGGGGCACCCTTAGGAGGCCTTGCTCAGAGGACCTCAGGGCCCGGGTTGTGCTGTGAGGGTGGATCAGGTCATTGATGTAGGCTGGGGCTTGGCCATGGACAGCTCTATATGTGAAAACTAGGACCTTGAATTGGGTTCTGAGATGGACAGGGAGCCAGTGCAGGGCAGAAAGAATCGGAGTGATGTGGCATGTTTTTTTGGACCGAGTGAGTAATCTGGCTGCAGCATTTTGGACCTGTTGTAACCGGTTTATTGATGTTTTGTTGAGGCAGGAGAACAGAACAGACTGATCGAAAGTTACACCAAGGTTTTTTATGTTTGCCCTTATGTTACCACTGAAAGAACCCAGGTGGCTTGCTACCTAGAGGCGATGTTATCAGCCGCTAAGATCAAGACTTCCGTTTTTGATGCATTGAGCTGCAGGAAGTTGCTTGACATCCACTCCTCAATTGCAGACAGACATGTGATGAGGGTGTTTCCATTTTCCATTTTGGCAGGTTTGAAGGAGAAGTATATCTGGATATCATCTGCGTAGCAGTGATACGAGACACCCTCAAATTGGCTAATTAAGCGGCCCAATGGGAGCATGTACAGGGCAAAAAGAAGGGGGGCTAAAACAGAACCCTGGGGCAGGCTATGAATGAAAATATGGGAAAATGCACAACTAAAGCACAATATCAACTGATATGATGACGCCCTCAAGGCGACACATCATGTGAAATTCCTTTCTTCATGTCATTTTAACATAACAGAGTAGAAACCCCCAAAGTGTGAACAAAATATCCTGTATCTTTTTCTGCATCTCCATCTGTCAGAACATGTATTTAACAACAAGCTAGTCAGACTTGCAGCTGTGTATGACAGGTATGTGTATGGATCTATAAAGAAAACTGGATACTGTGATAAGGGGGGGGGTCATATGAAGTCAAAGAAGTCTGCCTGCTGATTAAACATAAAGTTACCTTGATCTGTTGCCTCTAAATACTGGCTATTTATGTGCTAGTGCTGGAAAGTCAATGTACCTTGCGTAGCTGACTTTCAAATGTTTTTTTCCCAGTGTAAAGTATTTTAAGGTGAATGGCATCACAGGGCTGACCCGAAAGTCTTTGGCCACTAAAAAAATAGCTTGTGTGGCTGATCTTCCAAGGAACCAGCAAATCCATTACTTTTACTGTTGTTAGTTGCAGGAACAAACAGAGTAGTCTTCATGTTCCCTCATTACATTTATTTTTTATTGAAATCAGCCCCGTCAACATTGGAAAAAAAAATTCTCACAAGGACTCGTTCGAAGCAGGATTTACTTCAAAACGAAAGCACAAGGAGGATTGATTTATTTGTATTTAACCTTTATTTAACCAGGAGAAGTCTCCTTGAGAATAAACATCTATTTTACTAGATACAGTAGTCCAGTCTGTCAGCAAGATAGCAGCACAGCTAGACACTATCTTTCCCTAACCCCACCTGAAACTCTTCTGTAATTTCTGCCATTTTTATCTTGTTTTATTGTGTATTGCCCACGATACAACTTAACTTTCATTGACTGTAAATACTAAGTGGTTTTTCTCTTTGATTTGCCTGTCATAGGTCACTTCCAGGAGCCTGACATTAAACAGATCTGTGATGTGCAGGAACGCACAATGCACACATTTAGCTGCTGGGGACTGGGCACAGCTAACTGTTCTGAGGGTGAACCCAATGATGTGTTAAAGGTGATGATGTATTATGCAAAATCCACTTTTTCGTGTCTTTTCTTCATCAACATGTGTCCCCTCTGTGTAAAGAGATTCTGAAAGTTTCAGGAAAAAAGATTCGCTCACTTTTTGTCCTGATCCATTTATATAAAAACCTGTCTGAAAATGAGCTGATCAGATTTTGGCCACTTTATGATGTCATAACGATTTGTTGGCTTGTGTAACCATTAGCCAATCACCAACCAAGGTAACACCCCCCCACCTTATCACCTGAATATCCTCCTAGAGCACCATTGTGTTCTTTTTAACCAAATATCTCTCATGCCCTTTTCACACCAACGCGATTCCCGTTCTAGCTCCGTGCTTGCGCTCTTCTGGTTGGGAACCGGTTTTTATTTTCAGCCCCCGTTTTGTTCACACCGCCCAGAGCCCGACTGGTGCTGCCGCTGCTGCGTCATCATGATGTCACTGTTTACGTCGCTGATTTTCTCCCCAACGGCGCTCACAACAACAACAATGCGCCGGGTCGACGATCGTGTTACTTTTAATCAAGCCAGATTAAATTAAATAACTACTTCTCCCAGGGCCGTATCCAGGATTTCCTAAATACCGAGGTCCAAACATGCTAGGGGGGTTCGGGGGTATACACCCCCTGAGATTTCTGGGATTTTCATGATCTAGTTAGGTGCTTTTTAAGTCCTGGGAGGTCACAAATTGGATAATATATTGATTTCAAACCATGTCAGTGGGCTGCAGCATCAATTATTTTTGAAAGTGTAATGCAGGGGTGGGGAACCTCCGGCCCCTGGGCCGTATACGGCCCGTGAGACAATTTGATACGGCCCTCGAGTTAACACACGCAAA